TATTAACATTTATGTTCACCCCAATGCAATCAGCCAAGTGAAAAGGGGTAAATTATCATTATTGCAGCTGTTATTTTTATTACCCAAAGTGTTTTGGAAAATTGTAGCCCTTGAAATAGTATACAAACCTCAGGACTTAAGTACTTTTGAATCCCTGGACAAATTATAGCCCTCCCGTTGGTCCGGCGATAAACTTTTTGTCTTGGGATTTAAAATACCACTTCAGTCCCTAGGTGTATGATATACTATTATACCTATCAGTAATAGGTAAAACCTTCTGTTAATAAAGGGCTATTGACATGAATATTTTCAGCATAAGCAACATCACTAGTGTCTGCATTCAATTGATATGAACTAAATCAAGGATTATGTATTATGTAGATCAACAAAGTCTATTATTAAGCTATTAATAACCTTCCAACATTATATATTCTCTTAATATTACATCTTGAAGCTGTGGTAGAGACTGGATTCAGAGAATGTTGCAAACCAGTATTCATAGAAAAGAATCTATTGTTCTTCAATCTTTCTCTCTGAATATTTCAACTTGTTAAGAAGAAAGCTATCTACATTTGAGAGCAATGCATCTTTTCATTAAAATAGTATCCAGAGATTACTGCGATTAAATACCCACTTCAATAAATAGTGTTGAAAGTGGAAACAAGAATTGAAAAATGCCAAGTGATTCTCCACTGGAAAATGTTGTAGTAAACAATAAGAATATCTAGATGACACATTCAAGGAATCTTTAACAAACTGCATATTATCATTTCACATTTCATCCATTTGTTGCTTCATTATGGCTTGTTTTGTACTACTCTATTCATATTAAATTCAAATTATCCAGAGTTCAAGGATATGTTTCACTTACATGTATGGGTTCCAAGAATCATATGATTTATACTTGAATATTTGGAGACCTACCTTGGTCAAGTTAAAAATTGAGTGTAAGTTGAATATAAATATATATTATATGAACCCACAATTATTATAATATTTACCTCTCAAACCAAACTGGCCTAATTTAATCTATGATTTAAGGAAAGTAGTTGTTTTCTGTTGAATATAAATACCTAATATTTAATTCAAGTTTCACAGTTCATATTTTGATAGGTAGTAGTTACTTGAACCTATTCAAGACAACTTATAACAGCTAGGTAAGTAGGTAGTCATTTTCTGTTGAATATTCCAAATGACAAAATAGAAACTTGAATATAAATATTTTTATCTGAAAGAGAATGAAAATCTCTCAGAAGATTTTTGATTTTAAATCATCTTTGTGTGTTCAATGGATTCAATTCAATGTTCGTTAAGGCATATAGCCAGTAAAGTAGTAGTTCTCTGTGGAGTATACTGAAGAAGTATCAATACCTTCATCAGATAGAGAATGTGAATTCTCAATGTATTTCTTGATATTTTTCCATATTTTTCATGTTTATTTCTCTTCAAAATTATATATTATTGTAAATGTTAATAATAGTTTGTGAGATTGCAGATGTGTATGTTCATGGCTATTAAAGTTATTGCTTCAGTATTTCTGTTTATCATTTGAAACTGACCTTATATGGGCAAGTAATTTCTTGATCACTGCATCATTTGAGATATGGGATATCCTAGGTTATCATTTCATCAATGTACTTATTTAAGTTGTGTTCTTCTGGGGACATATTTATAAGATGGATTCATCAAACATCACTTTTTCATCTTTCATCTTCTCATTTGAACTGGTTCTCAAGATAAATTCTCAAGTGATAGGGAGATGCTTTGAGTAGGTACCTGAAATGTTGCATGTGGATTCGTTGGTGTATAATTGGGGATATTTAAGCAGGATAATTAACCCTGGATATTTCAATAGAATCATAAATTCCTGGTGATACTAGGTATACTTTGATGCTGCTTACCTTGCATAGCTTTGCTTTCATCTCCATTTTCTTTCAAGAACATCGTGATATTCGTGATTTGTACTATTTTAGAGAATCTTTTTGGCCCAGCCATTATTACATATAATATTTACAATAGACATAGATTCATAGATTGAGCCAATGAAACTCTGATAAAAACCCAAACGAAAATTGGAAATTGAAACACGTGTATTGTGTAGTTTGTTTATGTTTCATTTGACTTTGACGTTAATTGACATCTACGTCAATGACCGGAAATGGCAGCCATTTGCATGGCCATTGTCGTCACTCTATTTATATAGTCACTCTAGTCTTCCCCATCTGTCCTTGTCTTCAGTGTTCCAACATAAAATAATGCAAATATTATGTTGGCATCATTGGAAATGGGAAAAAATGGAGAAGAATATCATATTAACCTCAATATAAAAGAAGGTTAGAACGGTCTTCTTCTCCATTTCTTCTCATTTCCAGTGTTGGCAGCATAAGATTTTCATTCAATTCAATTCAATTCAATTCAATATATGCTTTATTGCCATAAATACATTCGTATTTGTTGACAAAGCTCGTACATATACATATTTAAATGAAATATAATAAACAATATGCAGTTCAAAATGTGAAGCCGTCTAAAATACATGTCAAAATATACAATCAAAAGCTCGTATAAAGCCTTAGTTAAAAATAAGAAATAAAAAACAACATAGACAATGAATAATAAAACATATAAAATATTGTAATAAAACTCACATGTGAGAGCTCCTATAAAGCTATAGTCAAATATTTCAAGATTATATATATGTTGTATAGAACGATCCTTTTAAGTATTAATCAAGAAGAAAAACATAATTTCAGAATCTCTGTGAAAAATATTCCTCGAGGTTGTATAGTGGAGTCTGAACGAGCAACATTTTCACCTTAGTCCGGAATTTTTTGTTACAGGGAATTTCTTTGATGTGATTTGGCAAATGATTGAATATCTTTATTCCGTTGTAAATAATGGAGTCTTTGATCATAGTGGTACGGGGTCTTATCAATTTAACTTGTCCGTTCTGTCTTGTGTTGTAATGTGATGAAACAAGCTCTAAAGAAGCTATGTTTTTTTGTATCAGAGCCGCTGTTTCCAAGATGAATAAACCAACTACTGTGAGGATGCCGACATTCTTAAATAAATGTCTACATGAGTCTCTTGATTTCGCTCCACACATATATCTTAGGGCACGTTTTTGTAAAACAAAACTTCTCTGGAATAGCTGATCATTGCAGACTCCCCAGAATGCAATTCCATATCTCAAATGAGATTCGATGAGGGCAAAGTATGCAGCTCTAGCAGGCACAAACCCTAATTCTGCAGCAATAGCTCTAACAGCGAAGCATCCAGAGGCTAACTTTCTACACATTAATGTTACATGTTCATCGAATATTAGTTTTTTGTCAATGTATAAACCTAAAAACTTGGTCGATGATTTATTTTCTATGTTATCGCTTCCCATACCTAAATTTGGTAGATTGCAATGGAAGGATAGAATATTCGTTTTCTTTATATTGAGCGAAAGAAGATTTGAATTACACCAGTCTTTAATTATTTCATGTTGGAACACTGAAGACAAGGACAGATGGGAAGACATTTTTTTTTCTCTCTCAACGGTAGCTGAACTGCTCTATTGTGATACATAGTTGAATAGAGAATTTCAGGACAAATAAGATAAGCTACAGAAATATACAGGGTGCCAATTGAAATAAAAAAGTTGGTTCTACTTCCGATCGAACAGGTGGTTGGCATCATTGGAAATGGGAAAAAATGGAGAAGAATATCATATTAACCTCAATATAAAAGAAGGTTAGAACGGTCTTCTTCTCCATTTCTTCTCATTTCCAGTGTTGGCAACATAAGATTTTCATTATTTTATGTTGGAACACTGAAGACAAGGACAGATGGGAAGACATTTTTTTTCTCTCTCAACGGTAGCTGAACTGCTCTATTAACTTTACAAGGCTGATATACGTATGTAGCAAATTGCGGATGAGATTGAATATTGTAATCCGAGGCGAACCGAATCCTTTATTTGCGTATCGGCCGTGTGTCGATCAAAACGTTTCGTAATCATGCTGAAAGATTATATTTTTATTTTGAGATAGGAACAAACCACGTACCTCTTAATTTTTGAGAAAAGCCCCAACATCGTATTTTTATGGAACAGTTAACGGCTGCCGGCCGTTATATATAAACAATCTTAACGGACATATAGAGTGTTAACATTATCTTTGAAATTAAATCAAAATAATAATGGTGTGGGATTACGAAATAGTTATTTATGCAACAAGTGCAAAAAGTTAATGTTGGACAATACGTCGAATGCAATAAACAATTTTTGCACGAGTTGCATACAACATTTTTTCTACGTTCATGCAAAAAGCAAAAAATGATTTATTGAGGTGCGGCACTAGTTGTAGGAAAATGAAAAGCGCAACTTAGTTTTTTACTAACGTTTCTATATAACCACAGTTGCAATATAAAAAATGTTTGTCATGATGACAGAGCACGTTGAAGTAGAATGGCAGATGAGTGCAATAAAAACTTTATTGCACTAAGTGCAATAAAGAACTTCTTTTTCCACTAAATATAGTTCAATAAAGGTCTGCTTTTTGCATGAATGTAGAAAAATGTGTTTATTGGTCTACTAGGTGGACTAGGTAATGTGATTCATCCTGGTGAATCAAATACAGGAAAAAGTGAATAATGAACATATAATATAATAATAACATTCTCGTCTGACCTTTGCGTTCGTGATGAGTTTATGCACGTTTATGTCAGAGTCAGATATCCACAAAATTTGCCGGATAGCCGTGAAGGATGTTTTTTTCGAAAATATTCGGAAAATTATGTAGAATATTTGAACAAATGGAAAACCACAAATCATGGAAAGTCTTGAGCAAACTCACATTTTTTTACTTTCAATGATTCAATGTGGAACTTCATTAGGACCATTCGGTGCCAAATTCTTATTCAGCTAGTGTGAACTGTGAACTAGTGTGAACATTCCCTCACAGGCAGAAACAGTGTATAGTTGAGGGCAATGAGGACAAAGGGTCCAATATGTAGACATATGACAGTTGACAGACAATCCGAGATTGAGGTTAGAAGTTGGAACAAATTTTATTTTGAAAATTGTATCTGAAAATAATTTTTAGTTCTATAATGGTGAGTAAAATTATCGAAAATGAGCGAATCTTACCTTATATTGCAAGTCACTATTCCATCTTCTCAAATTCACATAGTAGATAGTATATTATTATATTGTTTATCCAAATGTTATGAACAAGTTATGATTTAAAAAAAGTATTTTTCAAGCAAAGCAAAGGCCACTGAAGGCACTTGAATCTCTAATAATTAGAGTTGTTTCGTTTCAACTGGATGTTTACTTACCATAGCAACTCCCTTCCAAAGTGTAGTGTTTTATTGATTTGAAAAGGTAGTGATAAAATTTTTGTAAGTAATATGTCAATAAGCCTATATCCAAGAGATGTTATTTTATTTTACTAGCTTAGGTGTTAGCACTGCTGCATTCCTAATTATATCCTTAATAATCCAGCAGGTATTAACCAAAACCATATGGAGGTTCTTTCACTCATCTGGTACAAATTTGGCAGTTGAGAAATCTCTTTTGGCCACACTTCGAAAAAAGACTGGTTACACATTCAGCAACTGTAAGAAAGCTTTGGAAATGCATAATAATGATTTGAATCATGCTGAAACATGGTTGAAACAGCAGGCTCAGGCTTTAGGGTGGTCTAAGGCTACAAAATTAGAAGGTAGACAAACTATGCAGGGTCTAGTAGGAGTAGCAGTTAGAGATGATGAAGGTGTCTTGGTTGAAGTGAACTGTGAAACAGATTTTGTGGCCAGAAACAAGGAATTCCAAAAGATTGTTGAAGATGCTGCAATGTCTTGTTTGAATTTCATCAAGAGTCAACGGAAATCACAGGACACCATCACCAAGGTAGGAATTACAATTCATTTATTCATGGAAAAAATCTTCAGCCTAATCTGTAAAACCAAGATGTTTTATTTCAGAACCAACATATCTAAGTTTGTTATCATAAGCCAAGACATAAGCACTGAAATTTTATAGTCTCAGGGTGGCAAAATAGATCAAAATGAAACAAATACTTACTAAAATACTGTTTATAACTAATTTGACAGACAATGTTCCACAGGTGATAACCTGGTAACCCTTGTAATTTTTTTATCATTAAGGTTCAAGTCTTCAAGTATTCAGTTCAATATTTCCTGTTCAAATTTAGTACCTGAAAGGTTTCATCTTTGAAGAGGTAATTTTTTACCAGTAAGTCATTCTGGACATTTCATACAGTGGTGCACTACAGGTTGTGGTGAGTTGTTGTCCCATATTTTCTACAGTAAGGAGGGCCATTTCAATGTTTGAAGAAGAAAGTAGGTGTATTGAAAAAATATGTAATTCCATTTATCTGAGATCACTTCTGAGGAAACTTTTGGCACAGTGACAATTCAATTGATTTGTTTTATCTACAGGCTTATGGAAGTAAGAATAATAAGGAAAGGAAATCCTGTGAATATAGAGAAATTAATGGGTTATTATGTATCTTGATTATTGTTGAACTTGAGAAAATATCAAAAACCTTGCTATCAACTAGAGGAGGCATGAAACAATGCATTCTTGGGTATGGGAAGTCAGCTAAGTATTTTGTCATTGATTATACAGCTTCTGAATGATGCTAAAATTGAAATAGACCTAAAATTGAAATAGACCTAATCATTTCTAATTAAAATCTACTATCAATACATCCATATTAAACGACTCCATACCACTCACATTGAAATTTTGTCTATGGTGAGATGTTCTGAAAATCCAGGATTAGATAGGTTAAATTATGTTGAACAAGAAATATGGTCCAAGGCCCTTAAAGTCCATGAGATAAAGTCTACCAGAACAGGAGACATTCTGGTAGGACTTTGTGCCTATAGGTTGTTAATGTATGTGAGTTTTAGTAGAGTATTGAACCCTTGATTGAACACTTGATTGAACCCATTCAGATAACTAAAATGCGCTGAGAAGTCCCTTACCTTTCAAAAAGAAACTAAAACCAGTAAGGAGTTCCCAAACAGAAATCAGATTTATTATGGTTAACAATTTCTACACTGAGTTGTACACTAACACATACATTCATCTCTTTTGGCTTCATGAGCTTATAACTTTTTTCAATGGGCATAACGGGCGTTGAACCAAAGGACATTTCTTTTTCAGCATTCAATCCTAGATTTTCACAACATTTCATCATTGACAAGATTTCAATGGAAAGGATGCCGGTGGGTCCTTTAGATATACAATATACATATAAGTAGGTATTTTATCTGATGAGTTTTCAATGGGCCTCTACAGTATTGTAAAATATTACCCTTTTTTACTATCATGTTGTGAAGGGAAGTCAAAAACATTATTCTAAACACATATACTGGGTGACCCAGATTTTTCAATACAGCCAATATCTCAGTTATGCTGCTTGGGAAACATTTTTAAAAAAATACACTTGTAATACCTAAATGACTGGAGTCACTGTGTCAAAGTCAACTTCTGTCAAACTACTCCTGTAAAACCACTCCAACATCATTTTTTCAAGTTATACCCTATAAATCTTTTTGTTGATCTGTGAAGTGCAATCAATTCTAACTTCAACTATGTATCACACACAAAGCTAGTGGTGATAAAAATGTAATGTCTGAACCTTGGTAGTTGTGAATATTATTACCATGGGACCTCATATCCTTCAGCTGTATATTTCTTGACTGGCGCCTGGAAATATAATTTTAGTCCTTTGGTAATAATGATATTCTTTACGACATTGGAGTATGAATATATATTATAGTCAGACAATTTCTGTTGTATCCAGATGTACTTTGACATCTGGTAACTAGGTGTTCACTCACTGAGTCGTAACATCTGTAGTTATGGGGTGCATTCGAATACATACTCTGTGGAGTTTACTCATTTGCGTTCAAAGTTCATTAGATTGTGTTTTTTCTGTGACTGTCCTTTGAGAATACTGGACTTCAATTGAACTCTTGTAAATCAACAAAATAGGTGGTGTATTTCAATCACACATATTTGACACATTTGTTACAAGATGAACAAGGATAAAGAAGTATGTTTCCTTTGTTTCTACTTAGGTTAGGCCCATTTGAAACGCAGTTTATGATAGGTTTCATATCTTCAAAGAACTCAAACTTGGTAAGTACTTGAAGGGTAAATCACGTGGGAAGTCTAGTGTACCCGAGACGTTAGTTCCTCGGGAAGTCCGGGTTGTTTTTGGGTATACCAGTTATTCCTTGGGAAGTCCGGTAATTCATTTGGTATTCCGGGTATTCTTTGGGAGTCTGGGAATTCCTTAGGAAGTCCGGTAATTCTTTGGGTAGTCCAGGTAGTCTGGGAATTCCGGGTATTCTTTAGGAAGTCTGGGGATTCTTTGAATGGTCCCAAGAATTTCTTAGGTACTCCCAGGAATTCCGAGAATTATTTCGACAAAGAAAGTCTAGTGTACCCGAAATTGGCCCGTGATTTCTCCTCGTGAGTACTTATCTCTCAACATTGAAGACAGAGATGCTCGCAGTGATGTGACTGATATTTTGATGTTGAAAAAAATTATAAAATCTTCAGGAAGTGACAATCAGGTTCTGTTGAGGTCATCACATCTCATAACGAAATATTCAATGTGCGAGACCACTGATTTTTCAAAATGACATCATCATGAGCTCTATACTAAATAACTACCTACCTGTTAATATAATTTCGAATTGTTTTCATTCATTCAAGCTAGGACGATTATAAATGAATTAAAATATGTTCATTTCAAATCACACACTTCCTGCGCCATTTGAAATGGTGTCAATTCATTGGTGTGACTGGTGTGACCTATAAGTCCCAAAACGCCTATTGTTCTAGAGCTGACCAACCACACTACAACACTGCAGAATGGTTAGGCATCAGAGAGAGATAGCTACAGTTCGAAACTAATACGTTAACTTTATTTCTGGCTTTTTGAATCGGCGAGTGGACTGATAATGAATTATTGACATTCAATTACTCCACTATGTCGTTAGGAGAATAAATTGATTTTGCAATACCTCACGCTTTTTTTATGTAAATAATGAGTCTATGCGTTGTTCAAAATTGTTGTACTTCAGAGCTCATTTCAAACGTACCGTCATGGCCGTCATTTGGCGATACGTCGAATAAATGGTAACGTCAGTTGTTATGCTGTTTCGTTATTGGTCAGATAATCTTCCATTCCCACTCATGAAGAAAGGTTGTCAAGTCACCAATTATAATCAATTTATCAAAAAGATTAGAGTCTTGTCGTTGAATAAAACACGAGATAAAACCTAATATAAGGCAGTCATGATATAATAGTTCCTTCTTCACTTTTTCGAGCAACCAGAATGTCTAAATATCTCTTATACTCCAAGACAAAAAAAATATCATGTTGATGTGGAAGACCCGGCAACAATGTGCTGAATGCTGAGTACTGACAATGCACCACCCACAATTCGTGATACTGTGTTGTCACGTTTACCCTCAAATGTCCTGTAGTGTGAATTAATATAATAATATTATTAATAATACAAATGTATGTATTTTATATCCAATTAGGAATATAACCAATACAAAATTGAGGATTTATGAATTATTGAATAATTTATAATGCTCGCGGTAAATTTTTAGCCGTTTGAAAATGACCGTGGCATTATTGTTTATTTCAGCACCTTGAAATCGAACAAAAAATTCTGAAAAAATATGAAATTGAAAAGTATTTGAGTGAAGATTCTATTTCAGAAATAAAAAAAATTGTCCGCTCACCTATTATCGAAATGAACTGTTCATTGTACCAATATTCGCGGGAATCAATGTTACCAGGTTGCGCTCGGTTTTCATCGTTCCATGTCAAAGCCACGTCAAAATTGGGGGAAAACAAACTCAATCGTCACTCAATCCCATTAGTGCCATTAGCTTGTGTTCTATGTACTGATAAGAGTGATAAGTTTTTAAATTTCTTGACATTAATTGTCAATATTCGATCGAAAACGCTAATAATGCCTGTTGTAGATGTACTTTTGGCAGATATTTTGCGTGATTTTGTGTGGGGCAGAAGACTTCAACAAAAGGCACATTTTTGCACTTTGTCTACAAACTTCGGCGATGAAATCTTCGCCACATATTTGTTCATGCAAAGCAGGCCAATCTGGATATTGTAAACATGTTGTAGCTGTTCTTTTATATGTCAATTGATTTGCTCGTCATATTCAGTTTGAGTTGTTGAACTATCTCCAATTCTTCACTCGTTCACTGTTCACTAAACTAATGAAAATGTAATAATGTAAAAAAATTTACCAACTCAACCATCATCACTAGAAAGAGTGCCAACACTTTATGTCATTGACAAGTTTGACTACAGCTACAGCAAGCTGAATTCAATGTAGTCTATGCACTTTATCCATAGACAACAGTTTGTTTTCCCCTAGTTTGAAGTTCGTATTATGTAACCTAGATGTCGCCCACTTCGTGAATATCGCGAATATCACCTGACGAAGCTATTGTGTTATTTTAGGTTTTTATCAATGAGGAAGATTGAAAGATGTGGTTTTTGAAAGTTGACCAACAACTAGAGACGATATATGATCAATAGGATCAGAACTGCCGTCGAAAGCATACCAATGGCCGATTATTAACTCCGGTTCCTTAAGATGTATCGACTTGCGGTTTTCACAATTTTCTCCTCGTTTGCTCTACTTTCATATAAGAGTGAGAAAACTACTATATGGCTCCATTTGCAATTCTGGAGAAAATAATAAAAATTGACTGATTGTTTAAATGGTGCCATCTAGCGGCCACCACGGGATATAAATCGACTCGATTTGTGATTCACCTGAAAGAACTGAAAAATCCCTTCATAATGAGATAAAGTTCGTTGAATTCCGTTACACAAAACTGTAGCAATAAGAGTTTTTCCATAGCGCTATTCATCCTCCCCTCCTTCATTTATTTGTAGAGCTAGTCCAATTTTTTTCATGGAAATGATTGAAAATCATCCCAAGGTCATGAAAAAAGAGTTTTTGGCATACCTTGATATACCGACTTCCGAGGGGTAGACAACTCGTTGAGACTGGTGACTTTTTGAGACATTTTGATTACATTTGAGATGTTTTTCATTACAATTGACACTATTTGATTACATTTGAGACGATTTGATTACTTTTGAAACGGACTGCATTTGAGACTTGTAGATTACATTTGAGATGTTCATTCAATTTTGAGTATTCGATTACATTTGATTATAGGTTGAGTACAGTTGATTAATTGATGAGTATTTATTATGGTGTACACATTTCGCTGGAGTTGTCTACCCCTCGCCGACTTCTCACAAAATCCCGTTTTTCAAATTGGCCAATGCATTTACGCCTTCTAGCGGCTGTCCTGGAAACTTGAATGTAATTTCCAGAGATTTCTCTTGGCCACTTTCATCATGAATATTTTTTTCCGAAACTTTTGAGGCAAATAGTATTTCTTAGTGGTACACTGGAATATAAAATATACTCCTTAACGAATGTATCTTCTCATGAACTAAAATAACTGACTGAACTAAACTTGCAACGTGACAAATATAACCTTTTTTCTGTGACGGGAAAAAAGTTTGGCATTTCATCCCTGTTGGCGGGTTATAAAATGTCACTTTTCATAAATTACTTTTTTCCCGGATTTATATCACATATATATACACTGTTGATGGCTTATTTTGTTGTGCTATAGTTCCGAAAAATGAGTCAATAATACCGTCTCCGAGAAAGAACTGCAAGTCCTTTTATCTTCCATTCGACTTCGCCGTTACGAATATTACTAAACAATCACAAAATTCGCAATTTTTTGAAATCAAATTACAGAATTAGACTGACAGAAGTGACATCACTGTTAAAAACTTAAAATTTCACGTCGATAATTTTCAGATTTCAAAATAATGTAATATCTTCTCAATATTGATTCGTCCTTTCTTCTGTCACAGAAAAAAATAGTGTATTATACACGGGAAAAATATTAGATTTTAGCTCATGGTTTGTTGTCTCCCTCCGCTACGCGTCGGGAAACAACACAACCTGGAGCTAAAATCTACTACTTTTTTCCCTTGTACAATAAATAACTATATATGTCAATAAACTAACTCAATTCCGTTCGAAATTGTACTACATGGCATATTAATTAACTCACAGTAAACTGATAAACTTCCAACTAACCTCACTTCACTGTGAGAGTTAATAATCGAACGCACCCCTGAGTGGAAAATTTCGATTGTTTGGAATGAGACTGTGACTTCATTTGTGATTTTTAGACCATTCAGAATTGATTTGTATATAATGAAATCGAAAGCATACTGTGATGATTGAGAATTTCCAATAATCTGTTGTCTAGCTCATTCAATTTCATTCCAGATCTGTCTAGATGCAGAACAGCTCAAGAGTTTGAAGACCCTCGATGGAAAATCGTTGGCTGACCAGCTTGCCATGATGATTGGTATAGTAGGAGAAAATGCAACTCTTAAGAGAGCATTGTGTCTGAAAGCTGGGAATGGCGTTCAACTTTCAGGTTGGTGTCTCAGAAAAGTAGATGTCTTGATTCATCAAAATAATCTGCAGGATATTTGATGCTAGTGTTACTTCATGGCACCAATATAACATCAATGTAGAAAAAAACAAGGAGGCAAAACCAGTTTTTTTTTCTTCATAAAATACAATTTTGAATTTTCAACTCATGTTGCATGATTGAATGAAATTTGTGATAAAGGTGAAGATATCAAACTCAATTTATTTTTTCAATCACTGAATATATCAAAAGCAACCCTAGTGTATCAACCAAATTATCAACAAAGCTTGTTGAGTCGACTCAAAGAAGTTAATTAAACAATTCTCATTGGCAAAATAGAACATTAGCTTGCCACTAACCAGACCTTTCGACGATATTGTAGAGAGAAGTGGACCGTTGTCCTCGTGGCATTATTTGAATAGTGATGCAATAGGCCCAATAATTCCTGCTGTGATGTAAAATGGCATACAGATAGTATTGATAACCTGCATAGTATCTCATGTCCAAGTCATTCAATGGGAAATCAATGATGGTGTTCAGTTTCACAGTTTCTTTCTGAACCTTATCTTCGAGAATTGTTTTAAAAATATCATCAAATGATTTTAGTATTCTTTCTTCTTAATTTTATTTTTTGTTTAAATTGGTGGCAATATCAGTTATAACTGCTGATATTTGTCTAGCCATTTCTATAAATTTTACTGGACTTATTATTGAAAATGAAGAAAACAAGATTTTCATGCTTGCAAGTTATTTCCATGAATTCTGCAAGACTTTCGTTATACAGGATGATTTACATAGACCGTGCATGGAAAGTCAACTCAACTTGCACTTGGAAAAATTTTGTATTTTGGTATATGGCTATTGCCTAAAAAATTTTGAGTCCTCCAACCATACAGGGTATGACGAGTCAAATGCGGTAATTTTCGCAATTCTGAATTTGGAAAATTCGTAAAATTTGTATAAACTTTTTACATTCGCTTAGCCTTCAAATTCCAATGTGAGCTGACCAAAGTAATTCCAATTTCAATTATCTCTGGGTAGTTTTCCTCGGGGACGGATCCATGCTATGTTTGAGGAGGTGCAATAAAAAGTCGCTGATCATTAAGGTTGGCAAGAAAGAAAGAATTTTATTGGTACCTTCTGAGTTGTCATTCAGAATACCTACCTACATTTTCACATATTCATAAGGTACACGACTTACACGAGGATGTGTCCATGGTCCCTATGCCCCCCATCCTAGATCCGCCCTTAGTTTTCCTATATCACAATCAAAGATTTAAATAGATAGGAAAGCGGAACTTAGTATGCCTGATATAACAATACCTAGGTTAATTAGAATAGATCTTACATTCCACTTCATTGACGGTTAAAATAGCATAATAATTAAATTAATTTAATCAGAATATTTTTGTCACAGAATTATCAAGACTGCTTTTTCTATATGATGATTCAATTAGATATACAAAACAGCAATATGAACTATGAAATTTCAAGCAGTTTTTCCAGTAGCACTGGGAACACCGATGGTTTCTTTTCTTTTCCTATTTCAGAGTTTAAGTGGTACCTCGGGTTGCCGGTTTCGAGGGCTAAGGAAGTTCTCATTAGACTTTTATTCCCTTTGCGGTTGGAGACTAGAGTTTTCACAAAGATTTTTGAGAATAATTTCTGCCACAACCGAATTCTCAAATCTTTTTTGTGTCGAATAGTTGGTCAGACAGATAAATTTCTTCAACTTTTGATTACATCTGGATTGACTTGACTGAGCTCTCATTAGGCTCAACTGGGTTTTCCGTGGTGTATTCACTTGTTGACATGTTGCACTGCAATTAACCAGATTACTGAGTGAGTTGTTAGTCAGGTTCTCATTAGACCAGTACATTAGTTGCTCCCTGGGAATCTGGTAGTCTTATCCCCCATTTTCATATTGTTTACATTCATGAATTGTTTCTTTCAAATTTGCTTTCATTATAGCAGTATTTTCTTTCACATGTCAAGTTCATTTCATCACGACAGTATGCCGTGGCTATAATGGCTGTTTAAGAAAATGTGAAATGTAATCTGCATATTATCACACTTTTTGGGAAACAAATTTTAATCAGTTTGTACCGTAATTAGCCATAATGTTAATATTACTCAACTAGACCAAAGATATTTTTATGGATGATTTTCGTGTCAACCTGACGAGTAAGTAACCTCACTCTCACTTATTTCTGAATTCACATTAAACATTTTTCAATTTTGTGATGACGTCTTTTTGAGTAAATAACAGTTGGTTAACGTTCACTAATTTTTCAACTTAAATTTTAATTTCTTCAAAAACAAATCAAATATGTTTTTTTTTCATTCTTCATGAGGTCTGTTTCAATAGCTAAACGCTGATTATTTATTTACAGGTACGCACTGATGATGACTGTTAGTTGAAAGCGCTCTGCTATGAAAAATTAAATAAAATTCATTATGCACGAAATACAACTTTTTGTAATATTCTTTTTGTACTATTTTGGTTTATCTACACGTGCACACATGTTCATGTTCAATTCATTGCAAAAGTTGTTTCACAACAACTCGGATTCTTGTTCGGTGCGAAAATCTACTTTACACCTCAACAGATTCTCATGATCTACAAAGCACAGATACGTCCACATACGCTGATGCTCTTAGATTCCATCCAGAGAAGAGCCATTCGCCTGGTGGGTAATGCCCCTCTCACTAACTCTGTGACCCCATTAGAACACCGTTGAGAAGTCGGCGACTTTTCACTTTTCTATAGATACTTCCACGGGAAATGTTCCTCAGAAATCTCTGCTATAAATCCACCACTAGCAATACCAGTCAGGCGAACTTGACAGTCCCAGTCAGCACAACCCTTCGTCGTTAATCTTGAAACATGTCGAACAACACTCTATCAAAACTCGTTCGTCTATAGAACGGCTAAGCTTGGGAATACTTTCATCTTTGGAATTCTTTGCCAATGGAAGTATTCCCACGAACTTATATCTTCCAGAAGTTCAAAAAATATTCCAACACCTTCGTCCTTTTCCTATCCTGCCTAAGTACGCACAGTGTTCCACGAACATTATAGGAATTTCCTTTCGGGCGCTCCAAGAGTTGAAAAAAAGAATCTGCATCTCGGTTTCATTCACAGAATAAGAATTATGCCCCTTTATATACTGCCTATTATAGTAATATTTTAACAGCACTTTAATAGGTGTGTTGATGTCTAATTGGCCTGTTTAAGAGATGAAAATAATTCAATCATTTCAAAGTACTATCCCAGTCTGATTACTACCATGAACCAACACATTGATCTTCAACTTAATGAACAGTATTAATGTGTGCTGTTAGTCAGTGATTATCAACTATTATGCCATGATTAAACTACACTGCCATGCAAAAAAAACAACGACCACTTATAACAATTTTGGTTTTTCCCGAACTATTCATCTACTTTTTTCTACTATTATAGAGTCGATCCATCAGTAACGACGCTGTGGTTGAAAATTCCATTCAGATTTCAATTCCAGCAAGAATGAGAGACATCTTTCAATGTCCGAATTTTTGCTGGGAATTCAAGATTTGAAATTTTATTTGATTATATTCAATATTTCCAGGATATGCTCATCCATCTGGTAATTCAAATAACAACATTCTAATGGGCAGATTAGGTGGTTTATTAGCATACAGAGTAATAGAACCCACAGAAAATGCAACTGAAGTTAGCAAAGGTAAGACTGAATTTAAATGAATATGTCACAATAATTATGACTATAAACTGTGAACAGGATAACAACTGTCCTGATAACCTCTAATCCTAAAAACGTTGTACAAGTTTTCAAGAATCTTTCTTTGCCGCAAAATTCAGGTTGGAAGTTACTTCTCAATCCCAAGGTCCTTTTGTTAGTTACAGACTCCATTTATTCATTTACACAATATAATTCATAGATCTATCAATTTCTTACTGAAGTTGACTCATGCTAGGCTCTCTGGACTGTGATGTCTAATTCAATGGAGCATTTTTTCAATCTATTCAATATTTAATAGTAGAGTGAAGTGAATTAATTGATAAAAAAAAAACAGAATAAAGATTAAGGGATTCAAAGAAGATTAGATAATTTGTAATGTTTCGATTTTGGGAGCAATGAAAGATTTTTTTTACCACTAGCTATAAAATATCATTATTTAGGTACTCATTTTCAAGGCGTGAACTATGCTTTTTATAATAATAATAATTATAATATTTATTCTCAGAAGATTCAAATATAAAGGTAGATACATTATAGTGTATTGTTGAACGGGAATAAATATAGACCAATGAGTATTTGATAAGGATCTTCGTGATTTGAATATATGTTCAGATCTGCTTTAGCCGAGGCTAGACTGTATATCTGAACATAACGGCTCTGGTACGAAACAGCGCTGGACGAAACAGCGCTGGTCAAAACAGCGCGGTCAGAACAGCGCTCGGTCAGAACCGCGCTGGACGAAACAGCGCTGGAAGAAACAGCGCTCGGTCAAAACAGCGCTGGACGAAACGGCGTTTCATAGCAAGATATTCATTAATTGACAATTCTCCAAGTTACAACAATTTCTATATTACAAACTCATATTCAATGCAACAGATTTCACATAATCCTCAATGTTGTCAAATGTGTAATTCATAACCAGTACTCTCAACCTTTTATTCAATTGATAATACTTATTGCTATGATTCACAACGTGCCTGAAGCCACTTTTGAACCTGCTGATAAAAATTTCGGCTTGGTTTTGCTCCCTCTTCAAATGATCCATAAACTTAGCAATGGAAGGATGGTGACAATCGATCGTTTTTTGGAAGGAGTTCTGCCAAGCTTCCAATGAATTGTTGGTTCTGGGTAAATTGTTTTTTACTCTATCAAACATATTCCAAGTCGAAATTGGAAATCTTGATGATTGTTTCATAATTTTTCGTCCTATATAATTTTTTTCCCAGTATTCTATTATTGGAACCATTTCCACAGGTGCATTGGCAACTATGATCTCAAAAGCTCTCTCTATATCATTCTCCGGAACATAACTCAAAGCTAATATCATTTTTATTTGGAGCCTGAAATATTCATTAGCTTTGTACAATTCAGTCAATTGAAAATGTTGAATTTTCCTCCACATATTCTGGGAGAGATGGAATGAACATCCAATGATTTTCACATCCTGAAATATTGTTTTGGCTGCATTCATCGATGCAAGTTCAAAATCAGCCAAGATCGTGATCGGTTTCAGATTTGGTTCAAGGGCTGTCAACTTGGAAAAAATTCTTCGGTAAGATTCTTCTTGCTTGTTGCACATAAGACAATATATGACGGGAACGGCCTTTTCATCGATGAGAACATGAATAGTAAAAACTTGATGAAAAAAAAATGGAGTAACCTTGAAAGTGCCATCCATACACCAATGCTTATGCTCATTCATAACTGACAGATTTCCCCGTGTTCCAAACATTATGATTCTGTTCGATTCTTCTGAGCCAGAATCCCAAAGAAGGAAGTGTTCCCCTTTTTCTGTGACTTTGTAGGCATCCGCAATTGTCACATCATGGACACTATTACAATGGGATGATGTAGCATTTTCCTTATTTCGTTGTCGACTCACTATTTTTCTAGCGGCATCATACGATGGCAGAAGGACTGAAGCCTCTGATGAAACTCCACAAGTAGCAGCTTGGAAAATATGCCTCGGCCTTTCATTCTTCTTCTTTCGCCATGCTCCGCATTGCTCCTTTTATTTTGGTATTTTCTGATTCGGATGGACTCGGTGCGTGATTGTGTGTCGTTGTTGGTTTTGGCTTACCATTACTCACATACAGTCTCCCTTTGCATGAAGCTTTGACACAACGCCATGTCTCTGACGTGTCATTGATTTTATCTCTTCGATAAGAATATCCTTCGAAAACAACCAAATCTTTTCCTTTTTGAGATTTCAGGAATTCCATTTCTCATCCGTAATGACAATGGTTGCAATAACCAATGACAGAATGATATTTGTTATTGACGTGACGAACGCCGTTTCGTCCAGCGCTGTTTTGACCGAGCGCTGTTTCTTCCAGCGCTGTTTCGTCCAGCGCGGTTCTGACCGAGCGCTGTTCTGACCGCGCTGTTTTGACCAGCGCTGTTTCGTCCAGCGCTGTTTCGTACCAGAGCCGAACATAACATACTTATCATATTTATTATATTTAGTTGCTATAAATGACCTATCGATCACACCATAAACTAGTAAACTAAAATGTATATCTACTTGCAGTATGATGATAAACAAAATGAAAGCATTAGAATTAAATTATTATGATAAGTAATCGATAATATATAATCATTGTTGAAACAAACTAGGTGGATAATATTCTTTTTGATTGAATGGAGAGAAATAATTTATCTACAGTATCATAATGAAATGATGAGAACAAAAATAAGAATAATAATGAGAATAATAATAAAAACAATAACAGGCCAACAATGGCACTCGAATCTAGTAGGTTTTATCAATAAGACTTGTCATATGCTGCCATGGTGATGGTGGCTACTAGACTCTAATTAAAATTGAGAAGAATTGCTTTCATAAAGACAATATGTCCATATTTCAGTGAAAAATATCAATATTATATCACCACGGGACCTTATACCCCTTGTTTGACGCCTGGGGATCGAATCTTGTCCCTGGGTATATTCCACCACTAGATTTAGAACCTACTATTTTCTCTACCAAGCTGGTTTTCGTCATTTTATGAACTACTAGTCAATGAAGACATTGCAACCTCTGTCATAATTAACCCGAATTCACTGTTCTGATGCGTGAATCCCAGGTATGGCATTCGAATCTGGTACTAACAGATTTTAATTAGAATTGAAAATAAGTGATTTCATAGTGACAATAGTTCCATATTTCAGTTCTACTGAACTATGATGTTTGAAATACCGGGTGACCCGGAACCAAGTTATTTTATACATTCATATTTTTATGAAAAAATACTTTTTGTATTACCCTTGTAACTCGTAGGAAAATAATCAAATCAAATATTTTAAGTTTCACTTGTCTATTACTGCTTTATAATACCTTGCCAACGGTTGCTATCAACAGACTCATAACTAATTGTTTTTTCCTGTAGTTTATAAAATTACGTACTAATAGGCGGGTATACTATTTTTTTTGTTTCTTAAATAAAATCATCACCCAAATACCTTTCAATTTCAAATTTTTTAAGAATTTTTTGGTCGATTTTAAGGTGCTAAAATCATCAATCATGGCACGGTTATTTTCAAACGGCTAGAAATTTGCCGCGATTAAAAACTGACGTCACCATTTCATAGTAGCACAGTTGCCATATGTTGAAATTTATTGTTTTTATTGTTTATTGAGAAACTAGCTTCCAGTCAGAAATATAATTCTGGTATGAGGAAGTTGATTAAAAACAACAATAATAAAATGATATAAGGTGACAACAACGACAACAAAAAATACAAAAAAACATCTAAAAATGCTTAATCGATCAAGTCATAAAAAGAGCTACAGGGACTAATCAGTAGATAGCAAAGTATCAATGTTATCCATTTCGTAATAAAATCATGTGTTTTTTCAATTCAATTTCAAATTTTGAAATGTGTCTGCAATTTTTATCTCATGTGGTAATTTATTGAATTCAGCTAAAGCAGCGTGAGTAATTTTTTTTGCGCCAATTATAGAAGTAGTAGAATCGAGATGAAATAAGTTAAATTGTCTCGATTGGAAACATCAGAAATATTAGTTATTCAATAATTCATAAATTCTCGATTATGTATTGGTAATATTCCTAATTAGTAATGAAAAATCAATTGTCTCAAAATGTTCCGTCATGCAAGGGCGTACTCAGCGGGGGGCAGGAGGCAGCTGCATCCCCCTAGAACCTACCTCACTGCACAGAAGTACCAATTTCATTATTAAAACTTCACTCTGGCGTCGTTGTTCGTCTTCGTTCTATACAGGGTGGCATTGAAATAAGTGCTAGTATTCCATGCATTGAGTAAGCTCGTGGTATACTATCGAGTGGTATAAATAAAAACAATACAGGGATCAAAATAATATTCAAGGTTAGACCCCTCTCTCCATCCAAAGTTCCACACTGTAGCTATTGTGACGACACACCTGTTCAATTTTTCGTGCGGAATGTACAATCACGCGGATTTCAAGCATTTAAGTTTTTTTAAAGTGGCGTACCTATTTTTCGTCTCGTATTTTGTTCAATTTTCGGGATGAAATTTCTTGTTAATTAGAAGAATTAGGAAAAATCTGATATCATGGGAATATTCGTTCGACTGTATCATATCAATGTGCTGATTATTCAAAAACACCTTGTATAAAAACCAGCTCAGTTTCCCATCCTTTCCTCGAAACAAATATGAGCTGCCCGCTCCCTAGTTCAGATCCTGGGTACGCCTTGCTGTCTAATGTCATAAATAGCTGAAATCCTTATTTTTCAAGGCCTCTGTCAACATATTGTTGGAATGGATCCGAAAAAAATAGGATCGTCCACTGATGAACCGTCCAAAAACAAAGATGATGAAAAATGTCTGATTCATCAAGATTACCTGTTAGATGAGAGTGTTACAGTGAAAGATCTCCTCAGTGAGAGCAAACTGGAAATTGTAGACTTCAAGAGATTTGAATGTGGTGAAAGTTCACATGCTGTTGGAGATCAACCACTTGAGTATGTAGAAACATGTCAGTGAATTACTTAGACTCAGGTATTTATCATGTTATGTCATTATATTGTTTTCATTATTGTAAATAAAGGTTTTCAGTTAACTCTGAATCATGAAAAAAGATTAATTTTTACCTAAGTTATGGAACAATTTGTCCGCTCGCTCATGCCTATATTCACGGAGCGTGCCGAAACACTGCGCACCGGCTCGAAATCCAGGCTATGCTTGGGCCCTTTTATATCGGAAACAGTTGACAAAAATGATAAGGATCATTTTTGTAGGTTATAAATTGCTGTTTTTTTTTCTGTTCAAACACGAATTGCAGTGTAATATTCTGGCCAATATCGGGAAAAACGGATTTTGGGCACCATGGAACCATTTTCCTACCCCTCCAGTCATTTCCCGGTGGAATTTTTGTTCTGAGAGTAATTTACCCATGAACACCTACAAATTTAAAAAAAGTCCGGGATCTATCTAATATCATGGTAGGAAAAATATAAAGATGAAATCTGTAATCGAATTGCCAAAAAAATCCATTACTCCCCATGAGAATGTATTTTCTTTATGTAGTTGCTTTTCCAAAACGGCTTCTCTCTTGTCAAACTATCGTACATTAATGCCATATTAGTTAGCTATAATGTATTGAAACCAGAGATCAAAAGATTTGTCCCTAAATTTGTGTTTAGGAATAAAACATATCCAATTTACTTCTAGTTGCCACAATTTATTTATTTTTATTCATTAATCCCAAAAAACTAGTACAAGTTCATAAAGGGATAATCTGCAGTACTCTACTTACTGATACATTGGCGTATACATAACATACATAATGCAATAAAACAGTAATGCTCAACTCAATCTCAATTATTATAACGAATTCATATTTCTTATACGTCGAATAAAAACCTCATTTCCTCAGGTTATAGGACATACATAGCCGACATTGAATCCTAAATACAGGTGAACGTCAAAAAGTTCTGGAATTTTACAAACAATTCAAAAAAACAGCAGAGGATTTTCGTCAAGTTTTGAGGAGACTGAAGAAAACGAAAGATCTAGGGCTTATTTCTAGATTACAAAATGAATTTCAACAAACATTACGATTATATATCGAAGACTGGAACCTTTGACACGATAATACACTACACACTGTTTCACCACTAACCAAACCGATTTATTACACCTCGACACGTGTTTCGCTAACAATGTTAGCATCTTCAATTAAATGCATATGAAAGCTTAGGGATATTTAAGAATAGTACTATAGTAATGATTAGCCCTCCGTATAGTTTAGTGATATAAGACCAAGGTTAACATGTGAACTCAACCATGACTAACTTTAAATTGGCGGTTATTGTCTTTCACGGTTCTTGGACATTTACCTAGTATATAAGTAGCACACTGGGATAGAACATTCAGTTTTAATCTTCTCCTGAAAATGCTTACATAGTTCGCGAAACACGTGTCGAGGTAAAAATTAGGTTTTGTTAGTAGTACAACAGTGTGTAGTGAATTACGATTATACAGGGTGTTTCATAATTGAATGCTGATCCTTGAGGGCGATAATCCTTGGATGATTTCAGAGGGAAAAGTTCAAATCAACATATGTCCTGAACCTCTTAGTTATTGAGCTACAGGGTGGTGAAATTTCAAGAAAAAAATGAGTTTTTCTTCATAATTTTTTATCACTCTTAGATATTGTTATGATATTTTGTATAGACCTTTTCATAATTAAGGAGCATCATTTCACGTGAAAAATATTTGAAAATTATCACCAGTGGCGTCCGTACGGGGTTTGAACTGACAATTTTTGAAGAAAAAAATAGTACGCCACTGATTTTTCTGAGAACCAGATTCTTATTCATTTTGGACCAAATGTGGTTCCTAGACTTACCTTCATACAACGTACCGTTTTCGCGTAAAAAAATAAAATCCAAAGAATTTTGTTCCTTCAGTTCTTGGATATTGTTTTTGGTAATTCAGTAGACACCCACTATAAGTGGAAACACATTTTGTTTTGGGACGAAAATCAAACTTCTACTTTTACCAGAGATGTCCTCGTAGACCTGATATTGAATGTTTTGTTTAAAAAAACACTGTACGCTTCTGACTTCAACACCCTGTAGCTCAAAAACTAAGAGGTTCAGGACATATGTTGATATGAACTTCTCTCTTTAAAATCATCCAAGGATCATCGCCCTTTAGGATCAGCATTCAATTATGAAACACCCTGTATAATAAGTAAATCATTGAAATCTCTCTACTTTGCATTTGTTTATAGCAAATTGAATTTCGCGAGTGTGATTTGGAATCCAGGATATAACTAACGTTCAATTAGTGGATTAAGCAGTAGTTTTAACAAATATTGTAGTATTGATATTTACTGTATATCTCTTTTCACCTTCAAACAAAAAGTTGAACATATATTCTTCACATAAGTACCTAAAATTCCAAAATTGTTCATTTTAAATTTCACTCTAACTATTTTTGGGTTTTGAACCTGTTTGTATCCCAAAGTTGTAATAATAGATAGATAGATAGATAGATAAATAAATAAATGTCTGAATCAGAATCAGATTTTGATAAATTCATAAGTTCATACATAATCATATTCTTTCATTCTGAACTAACTGACACATTTCACTTGAACGAGAGAACGATTCAGTTCAGTTCTAGTGAAATATATCAGTTAGTTCATATTGAAAGAATATTACTTTCATATTACTTACTTACTTACGCAGGAAACACAGGTGACGCAGCGCAGAACAGCACATGTTTTTGTAGACAAATAGTTCTGATGCAACAACGCAAATTGCGACATAAGGTAGGTAGTTCAGGGCAGAACTATGCCTCGAATGACCTGCGTCATTCAGTGTTCGAGACACAAATACCTGCACGAGACGTGCAAACGTATGTGGCTGTGTTCATACAATAATATGTATGAGGAATTCATCGAATTGGTCAGGAAGGAGACTATATTATATGATAAAAGTCATGTAGATTATATGAAAACCAAATATGAAGGTACACTATACTGTTTTACCACTAACCAAACCGATTTTTCAAACGCCTCGACACGTGTTTCTCTAACTATGTTAGCATCTCCAGGAGAAGATCAAGAAGAAATTTCAATCTTCAACACCTTATATCGAAAACAACGCGTTCAAAAGTATATGTTCATAAGAACTTTTCTTATTATTTCAAGGAGTACAACACACTGTTGAAGTTTCAGTATTACAAACCGAACCACCCTGAATATGGGTTTAATAATGATCGAGGAGATACAAATAATAAAATATTTATTAAAAATTATAAAACATCCATCTAAAATCAATATGTACACTCCTTCACCTTCCTAACTTCAGCTTTAAATCTGTCCTCAACAGATCTGTTCAACTTCATTTCTGAGCAGTTCTTCCACAGCCATATTCTGCAGTCTTTTTTCCAGTAATAAGCCAAGTCACTTAAAGAGTATTGCTTGCCACCTTGTCGGAGAATGTCCGTCCTAACTAAAACGGTGCCATTTGTAGAGACATCTATTGTTTCCACATTATCTCGAATCGCATACTTGTTCGTCATTAGCTCGCCAAGTTTATCGGTCCTTACCTTGAAATGAATATTCTATCAATAATTTGAATTCTATTGAGAATTTGCATCAATCTGATCAATTTGGGCAACATTTTTACTCGCCAAAATTAGAAAAAATATTGTTCCTAACACGTTAGGAAACTCAATGTTGTATAACGATGGAATTTTGCGAGACGAGCGAAGCGTTTCCTAACTTGTTACGTAATAGATATTTACGTAACCAGTTAGAAACGCATCATTTTGTGTGACGAAAGGATATTGCGGGAGGAGCGATGAAGCGATATCCCGCAAAACACATAGAATATTTTTTCCAATTTTGATTAACTTTTCCGCTTGAACAGAAATAATGACCATTCCTACATAAGTTATATTGATTATGTACAAAATTTAGTGGGCAAGTAGACTTCTCCCGTCACTTTGGAGTATCCATCAAACAATAATAATATTATGGACACAAATCAGCGACAAAATTCTACTAAAATCATATTATATACAGGGTGATTTGAAATTCGATGTAAATGTCTCAAGAACATTTCATTGGGATCAAAATAAGACTTTTTCGTTAATAACTATGTCCTGAATTGCACCCCCCTTCTCCGAGTTACGTCCACTGTAAGTTACGTAAAAAAAAAATTCAAATTGTGACTTAAATAACGGATTGAATCTTCTGAAAATTAGCATGCCGTTGTCTTTTTAGACATTTCATTTCCTTCTTGCTGCTTCAAAAATTATGTAAATCCAGTTTTGTGGGAGTTGGAGAGGGGCCACACTTTGATTGGCCCAAATTTCATGTTTAAAAAGAGAAAATCTGTCGTTGAATAGCATAATCTTGTGGGAATTCATCAAAAAATGTGAGAATTCGGTCTCTTGCATTATTTTCATACAACTAACCGTTTGCAAGAAAATCGTTATCAACGAAAGGGAAGTCACATCGTTTTCGAACACAAAAGGTTAAACGCTTGCATACGGAGGTGATCGTATGTCGGAACGCATTTGAGACTGCTATTTCAGAGGCGTTCAGTACTGGAATGCTCGCACTTGATCCGTTTTTATGCACAATTTCAGGATTTTCTTGTTTTTTACCCAACTTACAGTTGCTGTAGCTTGGAGGGGGTGCATTATAGGACACATATTTATTTATTTATTTATTTATTTATTTATTTCAACGGTTACACCATTTTTATAAAAAAAATAAATTACAACAAAAATATGAATAATAATAGTAGGAGCAATGAAAATTACACTCATAGAAATGTAGCACTTATTATATTAATCAGGTATTCCTAATTGTTTTCACAACATTAGTTCTGAATTTACCTAGACTGCCACAGAATAGGTCACAATGATTTTGAAGAACAACATAATTCCTTTGTAGCCTTGAAATAGGGTTATTGTTGCCATAATTCGTTGAGTGAAAAGTCAAGGAAAATAAAGGAGGATTTCTTGTTCTGGTCAATGTATTAAATCTAATCAAACTAAGCAGATCTGGAGAATTAATAAGGCCATTGACCAATTTATATAGGAAACACATATCCAACACTAATCTACGATTTC